AACATGTTCTATTTATAACCTATTTAGTCATTTTAACTAAAATGTTAAAGCTTCCATTACCAAAAAGAAACACATAACCTAGATATACACATGAACAATACAATTTTTTTAAAAACCTAAATTCTACTAGAAACAAAGGGCAAGGCCAACAGCTATAGAACTCTCACAGGCAAAAATAAAGTCACTCAGGGCCAGTCCCAGTGGGCTAGTGGTAAAGTTCAGTGCACTCCGCTTCAGCAGTCGGGGTTCAGTTCCCAGGCACGGACCTACACCACTCATGTGTCAGTGGCCATGCTGCAGCAGCAGCTCACATACAAAAAGAGGAAGATTGGCAGTGGATGTTAGCTCAGGGCAAATCTTCCTCACCAAAAAAAAAAAAAAAAAAAAAAAAGTCATTCCAATACTAATTGTGGTAATTTTAAAATATACCCACAAATTCTTTAATACTCCTCCATTTAAAAGGTGGAAACTGGGGCCGGCCCCGTAGCCGAGTGCTTAAGTTCGTATACTCCACTTTGGCGGCCCAGGGTTTCACCGGTTCGGATCCTGGGCACGGACACAGCACCACTCATCAAGCCATGCTGAGACAGCATCCCACATGCCACAACTAGAAGGGCCCACAACTAAAAGTATACAACTGTGTAGCAGGGGGCTTTGGGGAGAAAAAGGAAAAATAAAATCTTTAAAAAAATTAAAAAAAATAAAAGGTGGTAACTAATTCCCCTCCCCTGGAGTGTGGGCTGTACTTGGTGACTCTCTTCTAATGAACAGAATGTAGCAGAAGTGACAATATGTGACTTCTGAGATGAAATCACAAAAGATATTATGGTTTCCTCCATATTCTCTCAGTTCAGTTGCTCTAGAGCAAAGCCAGCTGCCATCTCATGACAACATTCAAGCAGTCCTATGGAGAGGTTCATCTGGTAAAGAACTGAGGCTTCCAGTCAACAGCCAGTGAGGAACTGAGGCCTCCTGCCAACAGCCATGTGAGGGAGCTAAATCTTGGAAGTAGATCCTCCAGCCCCAGTCAAGCCTTCAGACGACCACAGCGCTGGCAGACATTATGAGTGCAACTCATGAGCCACAAGTGCTCACTTAAGCTGCTCTCAGATTCTTGTGCCAGAGAAACTATGTGAGATAATGTTTATTGTTGTTTTAAGTTTCTGAGTTTTAGGGAAATTTATTACACTGAAATAGAGAACTAATAAACTAATACACTAATAAAACTTTAAAAAGCTCAGGTATACTAGAATATTCATTTACTCTATTTACTAACCATCTGAATACTTACGCAGAGCAGAATTCTCCAAATTAGCAATATCTAATCTGTATACACAAAGGGAAATAACCAGGTAAATGATTTCCTTTAAATATAAATAAATAAGGGGCCGGCCCCGAGGCGTAGTGGTGAAGTTTGGCACAGTCTGCTTCAGCAGCCCCAGTTCACAGGTTCAGATCCCAGGCGCAGACCTACACCACTTCCCAGCCATGCTGTGGTGGCAACCCACATATAAATGTGAAGGAAGAGTGGCACAGATGTTAGTTCAGGACTAATCTTCCTCAGCAAATAAGTAAATAAATAACAAGTGAAGTGAACAGAAACCAAGAATAATACAAGAGCTTTTACTGAGAGGCCTGAGGCATAGAATAAAATCTTTCAAGGAAAAAAAAAGAAAACTTGGCATAAAAGCTAAAGCCTTTCTTTTCAAGCAAGGTTATACTTTCAAAAAGTGGTGAGAGAATGGAATAAAAATGACAAGAGAGGGATATGTCTGACGTGCAATAAGAAACTAATACATAGGGGCCGGCCCCATGACCAAGTGGTTAAGTTCACGTGCTCCGCTTCAGCAGCCGGGGTTCATCGGTTCAGATCCTGGGCATGGACCTAGCACTGCTCATCAAGCCATGCTATGGCAAGTGTCCCACACAGAAGAACTAGAATGACTTACAACTAGGATATACAACTATGTGCTGGGGCTTTGGGGAGGAAAAAAAAAAACAGGAAGATTGGCAACAGATGTAAGCTTAGGGCCAATCTTCCTCACCAAAAAGCATACCTTTAAAACAAAAAAAGAAATTAATATATAAATAAGAGGAGGAAAGAAGACATGCAATAGGCAGAATGGTGGAAAACTTTGTAGGAAGAAGATTAAATTTGATGCACAACTTAAAATTTGTGCATGACTTTAAAGGAAGCTAAAAAGTGGTGTTTACAAGGGATCTTTTTGGGGTGTTGGAAATGTAACCCTGGAGTGTGGTAATGATTGCATAACGCTACGAATTTACTAAAAATCACTGAATCGTACACTTGAAACACATGAATTTTGCAGTATATCATTTATAATTCAACAAAGCTACTTTTTTAAAAGTGATATTTGTTCACTGAAGCAAGAAGGGAAAATTATATTATTAGGGTTTCTCTGACTACAGAAAAGAATTAGCCAAGAGGAAAAGTACAGTAATTCATTCAACAGACATGAAAATTTTCACAGATTAATAAATATTAATGTCTCCATTTCAGACCAATAAAGGACAGTATTGTGTCTCTGGGTAACACTCTATAGACCTTGCTAAGGCCACAAAAGCTTATTATCTTAAGAGTAGAAAGACACTAGATTTGGAAACCTTAAATACAGAATAAGGAAAAGGAACACTTCAACTTAATTTCCTATCATCTAGAAGAGAGGGGTAACAATTTACTCTGATCCCACATTATTACAAATGCCTGAGATGTAGAGATGATACCTCCTTTGAGAGAAGAATTTCAAGAGAAAATTTAAAAGCAGAAAATCAAATTCGTAAGTGTTTTAAAAGAATGTATAGTAATTTCTTGGGCTGGCCCAGTGGCGCAGCGATTAAGGTCACACATTCCGCTTCTCGACTGCCTGGGGTTCACCAGTTCGGATCCTGGGTGCAGACACGGCACCACTTGGCAAGCCATGTTGTGGCAGGCATCCCACATAGAAAGTAGAGGAAGATGGGCACTGATGTTAGCTCAGGGCCAGTCTTCCTCAGCAAAAAGAGGAGGATTGGCAGTAGTTAGCTCAGGGCTAATCTTCCTCAAAAAAAAAGAATGTACAGTAATTTCTTTATAAGCATGATAACAGTCAATTCCCTCAGCCAGTCAAAACATCCAAATGGGGAATTTTTCGGTATTTTTGGAGAAAATTAATTTGCATTGGTTCAGGGACTTTTGCAGAAGTTTCCCAAAACAGCAAGACCATATTTCATTTACCCCATTTGCACCTACAAACAGAAATCAAGCAAAATTGCACCTATAAAAAAATGCATTTCACATTTGCTTTGAGCTATGAAAATATTAACCTACTCTGACCTCTCCCGTACCAACTTCAGCAAACCCTGGGTCAACAGTCTCAACTTCCCAAAACAGCACAGGTGTCTCCAATTTCAGACCTGCTAGTCTCCTCTCTGCTGCCCATTAAATCAGTAGCAAGCCCACAAAATAAAAACAAAAACAAAAAATTCTACTAACTCATATAGGTATTTCTTTCTCCATAAAAGAATATTCTAGCAGACACAAAGAAACTAATATATATCAATATATAATTCTATTTCCTCTAAATGGCTATAATAAATGTCAAAATAGTTCAAGATAGTGATATTCTTGATATTATCTACCAAGACTTGAAAAATTGTAGTATCAATGAACTTTATATATTTCAATGAAAGAACAGAATGTGAAACTTACAGTACACCATGCCTAACCCTTAGTAGGCATTCAATAAATGTTAGTTCCTTTCTTTCCTTTCCATCAATTCTTACAGCATTTCAGTGAAATAGTGCCTGTTTATTATTACCCCAATATAAAGCAGGAGAATAGAAAGGTAATTTCCTGACTGACCACCCAGATCAGACCCTTAAAATTCAGGCCACCCAATGAGGATGACAGGATTCATTTGCAGAAGTTAAACTTTAATCTACCCTCTTCCTAGGCAGCAGTCAGTGTCAATTCCAAGGACTATGTTCCTACTGCTTTAGGAAGTGGGTCAACTGTTTTTCCTCGTAGCAATGTATTAACAGTTCCTGTTCTTTGCGACTGTGAAAGCCAGTCTCAAGAACCTACACTGCTCCTTAGTGCAGGTGCAGCAAGCGTCAAAGATTGCCATCAACCCAGAGAAGCCTATGCAGAAGTTCACAGGATTCTTGGTTGGGCGTTGTGGGGAGTACTGTCATTGTTTTTTTGGCTATCAAGTTCACTCTCCAAGTGATCCTAGTTTCCTGCACCAATACAGTGGGGTCTCCGCACACCTAAGAACATGGAAAACTAGAACTGCACGAACTAGCACTAGCCCTTACTTTGACAGGAAATGTTCTGACAGAAATAGGTTTGCAGAGCTCAGTGAAGCTGCCATCTATAGCTCTTTTTGCGGGCATCTGACACAAGACAGATATAGGAGCCAAAGCCATATCTGGTGTACTTTTGTTCAGGCCCTGCAGCTTAAGATAGGAACATAGGCATGCCGTGTCAAATCAAACTCTAGTGGTTACAGATGGACAGATTCTATCACCAGAAACAAAATTTACAGTTGTCAGTGACAGCCTGGCTACTGTCAAGACAGGCCATGTGCTGTATTGAGTCTGCCACTCACATAGGCTACTGAATTTTACAGTGACCAGAAGAATTAGCTGGCCTGTCACTTCCCACTTCCCCAAGCTGGTTTACATAATGGCTCCAATACAAGACCTTCTGCTCTCTAAGGACTGGATAATGGTGTGCGTGTGCATGTGTCTGAATTCATGGTCCTGTTCTGACTACCAAATTTTAAACTGGTTGGGCTGTTTCTTGGCATTCAATACTTCCTAACAAGATACTAGATGTAGTCTGCAACATTAGATAAATCAGGTGACAGACCATCACGGGGCCACGATAAGTGTTTCCCTAAACAATAATCAAATCTGATCTATTCTAGTTCCCTAGAACTGAAAATACTAACAAACGCCTTAGGAAAGGAGGCAGGAAAGAATAAAGAAACCTGGGACCTACCTTGTTTACAATTCCCACAGACAGACGAAATTCAATTCCATGCCAACCATACCCTTCGATCACTAAAACACAAACAGAAAAATAAAAGTTCATGCAATATAAGTAATTCCTTCAGTTCCTAACGGGTATTTGGTTTCAAAGGTAAGAAGCTGTTTCTTATCTCCTTGCTATCGTCTCCATGTGCACAACAGTGGCTGAGCTCTGTCACTGGCAAAAAGGCCCAGAGAGTTCGAGTTGAATAGGTAACACTAAGTGAGCACTTACTATATGCCAGGCACTGTTCTAAGTGCTTAAGTGTACTAATTAATTTAACCCTCACAACAACCCTATCAGATACTCTTAACTCATTTTACATCTGACAACTGACCTACACCTCTGAAAACTGCTCTTACTGGTATAAAGAAACGTCTTTTAAATAAATGTAGGTACTCTCAACCATCGTAGCTGGGCTGTCTCAATGGGTGAATCTACAAATTTCCATATTCATCCATTCATTACGTATTTCTTGAGTCCCCATAATGTGCTGAGCACTACACCAGGTGCTAAAGAAGATTCATTCTCTGCCCTTTAAGAGTTGAGAAACCAGTTGGGGAGTCAGACTAAACTACAAGAAACGGTTCAAGAAATGGAATATGCTATTACGAGGTACACTCTCTCTGTGCAATCATTCAGTAAAAAATCAATAATCTTTGGGAAAAGGAGAGAAACGTTTCACACAGGAGGTGCCTTAAAGTTGGTCTTTTAAAAATAGGCTACATTAGCTAAGAGAGGAGCAAGCTCTTCAGGCAAGGAAACAAGAACAAAAGGCAGCAGGGACAGTAACGGTATATCTGAGGTCCTTCATAATCTGATCCCATCCAGTCTTACCAGCCTTTGCCCTGGCCACTGATCTCCCTCCTGCTTCCCATTAGCCATACCAAACTTCTTACTTCTAGGACGTACAATTTTTGATAGTTCCATTGTTTCTCCCATTGCCTGGAATGTTCTTCCCCACTTTTCCCTGGTGGGTAACAATAACTAATCGCAGTATACAAAACTCAATAAAATACAGCCACTGTTACAGTAATTTTTATAACTCAGAGTCCAACAGAAACATTTTCTACAGCCTTTTCCAATTCCCCAGAGTGAATCTACTTGCCTCTCCACCACACTCACATGGCATTTGTCCATTTCTCCGTTAGAGTGGTAAAACATTTTATTGTCCTCAGGTTTCCTTTCTTCTCTCTCTCTTACTTGTCTGAACAGCAAACATATAACTTGATACTCAAAGACCAAGCACAGTGTCTGGCACATAAGAGGTGCCCGTTATGTACTTGTTGACTGAAGGCCCAACAGACTCAAATTTACAAAATGAAAAACGGTAAGATTCTTCTAAAAAGTCAGCTCCTTTAGTACATTTAAATGACTCCGTTTCTTAAAATCTATTATAGGGGCTGGCCCCATGGCTGAGTGGTTAGGTTCGCACACTCTGCTTCAGCGGCCCAGGGTTTCGCCAGTTCAAATCCTGGGCGCGGACATGGTACCGCTCATCAAGCCATGCTGAGGCGGCGTCCCACATGCCACAACTGGATGGACCCACAACTAAAGGTATGCAACTATGTACCAGGGGCTTTGGGAGAAAAAAGGAAAAATAAAATCTTAAAAAAAAAAATCTTTTATACTTTTACATTTTCATGACTATGTCCGCTACATAATTACACCAACAATTCATGCACAAAAAAAACAAAGTGGAACCAGTAAAAACTATCAGCTGACTAGTTTTTGTTTCACAACAAAAAGAGGCCTCATCCATGCCAACTGAGAGAGAGAAATTAATTGAACTGATAATTCAGATATTGTGGCTGGTGACCTTTCTCACTGAAATGGTGCCACAGCTTTGTATACTGTATGTATGTATGTTTTAATAGATATTTATATTGGCTTTAGTCATAGATCATAGAGGTTACAAATTTAGAAGTCCAATCATAAATCCAAGGTTTATTTATAGCAACTTTCCATATGGTAGGAGTTTAAGAAGGAAAACAGCAGCCTTTTTGCCTGCCGAACGCAGAGGGTAGCAGAGCGCCAAAGGAACAAACCCTCTCCTGACTCTGCTCTTGGCACTGCTTAGAGCAGAGGAAGAAATGTGCAGGGCAAGGAGGAGCCTCACTGAAAATCAGTCACCCAAAGCAAGGGGCATTTTGAATGTCTGTGCTATTCAAGGCTTAAGTATTAATTTTATACATGCCCATGATCATTTAAAGCACAATTTGTGGCTTGGAACTTAAAAAATGTTCTAATGTGCTAGTTTGTCCACATATTAATCGAGTCAGCCAGGTTTGAACATGCCAAGCTTAAAATACTCTCTAGATCGTTATGCAAAGGTATGAGCTCAATCTCTTATTCTCAGGAAAAGGAACTTAGTCAGGGGAGAATGACTAAAGCAACAGTACTTCAACGGAAGCCATAACAGAAAGTCAACTCCTACATGTTGATGGGTTGCTTTTTTAAAATATCTGAATAGAAATAAGATATAAGCTAATGAGAGATTTCTCAAAATTATTAATTTCAAAATGAGATCTTGGATTTCTAGTTCAAAGTTGTCAGAGAATGTATCTTGAAACTGATTACTACATGAGACTGTCTTATGAAAAGGTTGTTTTAGTCATCCACTGACTAAGCCCCTTCAGAATCCAAGTCGAACTCACTTTATATTGAAATGAATTACATTTTTATGTAACAGTATTATAAGCAAAGTTCTTTTAATCTTTTATTGGCTTTAGAGAAATGCCAATAAAACCTGAAATGACTAAATTTTTATAACTAAACCTCAGAAACTCATACATTCAACCCCTTCATTTTCAGTGGAGGAACCAGTACAGAAAGGGTTCAGTGACTCGATACCAGAAACACTGGAACCAGAATCTGATTAACAGTCCAATGTATTTATTCTACTACATACTAAACACACTGCTTTATTACGACAGAAAACGTTTGGGAAATTACAACAGAAGAAAAGTTTATATAACTACACCCAGTCCCTAACTGAAGAGAATTTTATTTTTTTGAGGAAGATTAGCCCTGAGCTAAGATGTGCTGCCAATCCTCCTTTTTTTGGTGAGGAAGACAGGCCCTGAGCTAACATCCATGCCCATCTTCCTCTACTTTATATGTGGGATGCCTGCCATAGCATGGCTTGCCAAGCAGTGCCATGTCCGCACTCAGGATCCAAACCAGCAAATCCCGGGCCGACAAAGCGGAACGTGAGAACTTAATCGCTGAGCCACTGGGCCGGCCCCTGAAGAGAATTTTAAAATTAGAGCGTGCCCTGAAGATCTGGAAATGCTGTCCCTTAAAAACTTGGGCAGTTGGGCCAGGCCAGTGGCATAGTGGTTAAGTTTACCTGCTCTGCTTCGGCGGCCCAGGGTTCACCAGTTCGGATCCTGGGTGTGGACCTATACACTGCTCATCAAGCCATGATGAGGCAGCGTCCCACATAGAAGAATTAGAAGGATCTACAACTAGGACATACAACTATGTACTGAGGAGCTTTGGGGAGAAAAAACAAAAAGAGAAAGATTGGCAACAGATGATAGCTCAGGGCCAATCTTCCTCAAAAAAAAACAAAAACAAAGCTTGGGCAGTAGAAAATTATGGTAGTTATTTTCAATGCTTTTGGCTCACTACACACTCACATAGACTCTTTGCTGGAAGTTTAACTTTAAAAAGTTTTCCTGGGGCTGGCCCCGTGGCCGAGTGATTAAGTTCGCGCGCTCCACTGCAGGCGGCCCAGTGTTTCATTGGTTCGAATCCTGGGCGCGGACATGGCACTGCTCACCAAACCACGCTGAGGCAGTGTCCCACATGCCACAACTAGAAGGACCCACAAAGAAGAATATACAACTATGTACTGGGGGGCTTTGGGGGGAATAGGAAAAAAATAAAATCTTTAAAAAAATAAAAATAAAAAGTTTTCCTGAGGGGTTGGCTCAGAGGCATAGTGGTTAAATTCGTGCTCTGTTTCAGTGGCCTGGGGTTCGCAGGTTTGGATCCTAGGCATGGACCTACCCACCGCTCATCAAGCCATGGTGTGGCAGCATCCCACATACAAAAAAAATAGAGGAAGACTGGAACAGATGTTAGCTCAGGGATGATCCTCCTCAAGCAATAAGAGGAAGATCGGTAAGAGATGTTAGCTCAGGGCCAATCTTCCTCACCAAAGGAAAAAAAAAAAGTTTTCCTGGGGCCAGCCCTGTGGCCTAGTGATTAAGTTCACCACAGCTGACTTCAGCAGCCCAGGTTCACTTCCTGGGCATGGACCTATACCACTCATTGGCAGCCATGCTATGGTGGCCACCCACATACAAAATGGAGCAAGACTGGCACAGAAGTTAGCTCAGAGCAAATCCTCCTCAAGGGGGAAAAGAAAAGAGGAAGATTGGCAATGGATGTTAGCTCAGGGCAAATCTTCCTCAGCAAAAAAGAAAAAGAAAAAAAGTTTTCCTTACATTCCAAAGGGGATGAGAATGTTTATAATCTAAGATAACGTTATCTTTATCTACTAAAAAATAAATTTCACACACAAAAAAAATAAGCAGTTTCATAGAATTTGGGGTCTTCTTTCAAACAAGCATCTCTTCTGAAAGAATGCTATTGTTTCATTTTAATTTAGGGGGGAAAGGATGCAAAGAATGAAAGGAAAGTAACAAAAAATGGAATGGAAGGGAGAAAAAGGAAAAAGAGGAAAGAAGAAAGAAAATCAATATACAGGTTTAACTCTGCTATCAAAAAAGGAGAAAAAAACAATTCCCAATTAAATGAATGAACTGTGGTTTTAAAGCAATCAGCCTCAACAGGATCTGGTTACATATCTCCTCAAACTGAACATCTATGAAAAAAATCTTAATCTCATTCTTCCTGATTCTCTATTTGCTCTTTTTTCCACTTGCAAGAAAGAACATTAAGTGGACTGGACCCCCTGGAGCAAGTAGGAAAGTCAGAAATGTCAATCTATGTAGCCTCCTCCAAGAGCTGGTACTGGTTGGAGGTAATGGAGCCTCAAAAGTAGAGTCGAGAGAGCCTA